AATAAATATAATAATTCCTAAAAATAACAACAACAAACCATATTCTGTCTGTTCCTTTCCATCTCTCCATTATCTCACTTTTTTCACTTAAAGAAAAAAACCCCAAAGAACACCACCCAGTATCCAAGGGAAACAACCAAACGCGGCTTTCTTATTCAAGACAGTGATATAAAACTCGAGATGCTTTCTCAAACTTGTTGACTAAGTAGTGTTGTCCTTACCCTTCGAGGCTGATTTGTTAATGTTCTTGGTTTTAAAAAAAAGCTTATGGTCATTATGATTGATGGTGCTCAAGGCTGAAACTCTATTTAATCTGATTTACCTCCACTCCCATTCACTCACACACACACACACACACGCGCACACACACACACACACACATGCGCACACACACACACACACACACACACACACACACACACACACACCTAGCACTTACCTTTCCACACTACACTACACAGCTTGCTATCCTATAATGTTCATAGATGGTGATATTTCACATTTTATTTTTCAGAGAAAATTGCCTGTGATATTTCAATATTTATCTTTCCCAGAAAAGCGGCTGTGACATTTCCAACTTTTTATCTTTCACAGAAAAGCGCCATTGACATTTCACCTTTTATCTTTCACTTTTCACCGTTTATCTTTCACAGAAAAGCGCCATTGACATTTCAAATTTTATCTTTCAACTTTCACCATTTATCTTTCACAGAAAAGCACCTTTGACATTTCAAATTTTATCTTTCAACTTTCACCGTTCATCTTTCACAGAAAAGCGCCATTGACATTTCACCTTTTATCTTTCACATTTCGCCTTTTATCTTTCACATTTCACCGTTTATCTTTCACAGAAAAGCGCCAGTGACATTTCCAACTTTGACTCTGACTTCACGGCAGAGAAGGCACAGCTGACCCCACCCGACGCAGCGCTCCTGAAAACCATGAACCAGCACGTCTTCAAACACTTCTCCTTCACCAGCCACGACGCTCTGCGCTCATGATGACCATGATGTTGTGTATTGCTCGTTGTACAAAATCTGTCCTCGTTAATTAATTAAATTAAATCATGCATTATGAACACACCTGCTTTCCTCTTCTTTCATCTTCTTTATTATTGTTAAAACACAAAAAACCCCGATATGAATCTATTCACTACTTTCATTTCTGAATTATTAGCATTTTTAGCTGTGTGATAATTATTCTAATGGTTGAAAAGATGTATTATAATTATTGTTACAATACTTGACAGATTTATCTTTGTGTATGTATGTTTTTGTTGTGCTGGTAGTATTTGTATGAAATATTGCTACAAATGCGTGGTTGTCCTTTGTCCACACCTTCCCATTTGCTTTCATGGTTTGACGCCTCTTAGGCCTACAGATATTGGGCTGAAAAATATGTGGCTCGATGCTGTGGAATCAGGCGCTTGTCTATTTTTGGACTTATATTATTGGAGTTACTGGTATCACCTTAAAGCTTGTCCATTTGTCTTACTTTTGATGAAAAGAATATCTTGGATATAAGTCGAGATATTGGCGATTGAAGGAGGTGGGGTTCGTCTGGTTTCAGAGGTAAAGTTAATTAGAAAATGGCTGCCAAAGTTGAGTTATTTCCATAGCTTGAGTGTCTGTGGAAACTTAAGATGTACATCTTTTATGCCTTTATTCAACGTTTTTCAGTAAAGTCCACACAGAAATGTGGTCTATAAGGGCGGGAAAGGTGTTGAGCCCAAAAACAAAAGTTCGATAAAAGTTCCCAACCTGCTGAAAAGTGCCAGTTTCTTCCCTTTCATTATTTTGACGAGCGCCTGATTTCACCACTCTGCCTCACAGATTCCATTACATCCCACGTCTATCTCGTGGGATATTGCGTTGCTCATACATTGTGTGAAGAGCCTGCATGTGTGTCTCTAATAGTGATTGCACACTCCGCAGTCTCTACATTATTGTAGCTAGGGTTCTCGCCGGCTTGTCTTTAGGAGAGAAACCTTTCTATGTCAACTTATAGTGTAGTTTTCCATTAAATTATCTCAAAGTCAAATGCTAAAGACATATTGTTGCTTTTAAGGACAAGCGGGCTAACCCAGATTTCAGGGGTTTCTAGAAATCTTGACCTACACCAATAGTGGACAATGCCCTACCTATAGGAGAAGTTTGGTTTCATTTGTGTATACGCAATGCATTATTGTCGTTCATTACCAGATAGTTGAACAGGCTCTACTTACAGCCTCAAACAACTAAATCGTCAATGTCAATGTCAATTTGTTTGGTTATAAAGAAAACTCCTTGTTTTTTTAAGAAACTGAACAACAACAACATTAAGAAACTGAACAATGTTCCAAAAACTTTACCTTCGTTTTCTCAAAACAGCATTTTTTGGGATAGTCCCCTTGTGCTTAAAATCAACCGTATATGCTGGCCATAAACAATATCTATCTATATAAAATATGACCCTAAGCAAAATGTTCCAATCTGAGGTAAGCAGTATCGAGATCTGTTTTAGTTTTAGTAAAATGAGTGGACTGTTTGTAATGTGATGATTTGTGCCAAGTTTTGTCGTTTCCGCTAACAACAGTGTGGCAATGTATGTTTTTCTCGTTGACACCTAATCTGCTCTTGACTTAAAGCAACAGGCTAAAACAGCTCCTGGTCATGGATGGCCGGGGCCTCTATAAATAAATTATTGATTATGACTTGAGCAAAACTAGACGCACTCGTATACGATTATGGAAATAATTTACTGTACTTACAGTAGTCTTTGATTTTGCTCTGAAATGAAAACCTTTGGACATAATAAATTGCTGAACCACATCTGTTAAATATATAAAACCTCTGATGACAACAGTTTTACCTGTTAAATATATAAAACCTCTGATGACAAGAGTTTTACCTGTTAAATATATAAAACCTCTGATGACAAGAGTTTTACCTTGCGACAAGTGCAAATCCCAAGAAATTGGACACTATGCATTGTTTTATGTTTACACTTCTGTGTACTTGCCCACTGTAAGGGTGGATCCTGCTCGTCAAATTTGAGAGTGACGATTCGCGATTCAGTCGGCTTCAATGAATCGCGAGTACGCGAGCGCTCGTGGAACTGTGGCGGAACACTGACTGAAACGGAACAGTGTCATATCAACGCCACTTGGTGAGCGCGAGTCCCACTCTTGTTGTTCCGCCATCCTCTCCGCCCCACACCCTTTGTTGCGCTGCTCTATCAACTGACCTCAATTAGTGACCCCTATAAATTCCTCCCCCCCCCCCCCCAACCCCATGATTCACTAAAACAATGGCTCCATAAAATTCCCTCTGTCTATTGGTCGGACCCCGTTCATTTTGTTTTAATAGGGGGGTTGGACTATATCATCTTTTGTAAAATAAGGGGAGCCATACTAAGTTTTCCGTTCCGTTCTTGCGCTCGTGACTCGACCCAGCAGTAGGTTAAACAAGCCACAAGGTGGTGACAGCGACAGGGGAGTGAATCGGGAATCGTTTGGCGATACTGTTCCGCGTTCCGCTGAAGTGAATCGTGAATCGCGTTCCGCAGGAAAGAGTGGCGATTCAGTTCCGTTCTCGCGCTCGTGACCCAGCTCTATTGCCTACTGTGAGGGTGGGTCCGTACTTAAAAAGTACTAAACCTTTCCGAAGTTTGTTAGTATAGGTACTTGAAAGAGTAATAATATGTTTTCTCTGTATGTGTAACTTTGGTGCGCAGCGTGTTGTCGCACTTTTACTACTACTGTACTGTTACCCCAGTGTTTCAGAGTTTTGCCTTTTATATACTGATGTAAATCAATAATGACTTTATTGTAGATTGGAGTTGATTCTGATGACTGTAAGCTAAAGCTGTTTTACTTTTTCTCATAGGTATGCATGTTCACAGGGAATAAGAGAAAGAGAGAGAGGGAGAGAGAGGAGAGGGGGGGAGAGAGAGAGAGAGAGAGAGAGAGAGAGAGAGAGAGAGAGAGAGAGAGAGAGAGGGAGAGGGAGAGGGAGAAAGAGAGAGAGAGAGGGAGAAGGAGAGAGAGAGAGAGAGAGAGAGAGAGAGAGAAAGAGAGAGAGAGAGATCATATACATATATAATATATGTATATTTACACAGAGAGAGAGAGAGAGAGAGAGAGAGAGAGAGGGAGAGAGAGAGAGAGAGGGAGGGAGAGGGAGAGAGAGAGGAGAGAGAAAGAGGAGAGAGAGAGAGTCATTGCTAACACTGTTTATAGCCCACATTTTGATATAAACCAATGAAAATCAGATTAAATTTTTGATTGTGACTACAAATGTACTGTAATCCAAAGCCCAGTTTCCTTCTCCTCCCATAGGCCTGCCTGGGCAGACACTGACGCATGTGTGATGTATATATATAATTATACATGTATATTGATACAGTTTTTATTCAAACCTCATGCACTATTTCTTCATAGTGTGTGCTTGTGTGTGCATTTGTAAGTTTGCTTGTCTGAGTTTTTGTGTATACATGTGTGTGTATATTTTTGCGTAAGTGTTCACATGTTCGTGAATGGTATTGAGTGTTTGTATCTTTTTCAGAGTGGTGCTCTGAGAATGACAGACAGAGGAAGAGAGGGAGAGAGTGAGAAAGAAAGAGAGAGAGAGAAAGAGAGTCGTTGCAAACGCTGTTTATAGCCTACATTTTGATGTAAACAACTGAGAACAAATATTGAAACACAATTATAAATAAATATGTAATTTGCAAGTTTGTCATTGTTTATTCTTCAAATAAAACGAAAAAAAGATGTATTGATATGGTAGGAGCTATGATGATACAGTTGAAAGAATTTAATGAGCTTTTCATGAGAATACAATATATAAAAAGTAATTTCCAGATTCAGTTGAGAGTACGATTATTTCTCTTAGATTACTGCTTTCTGTTCGGTATGGACTCTTCAAGTTCTGCTACATGCTAGATAAGAAATAAGTACATCCTCCTGCAGTTGATAGCTGATACTGAAGGAAGAGAACTGCTACGACCTGACCTTGAACTTCGTAAACATTTCAGTAGAATCTTCATTTTATTTGATATCTTTTGGCAAAACAATTTTAAAGTGATGGGTTGTGTGGGTGGTTGAAGGGTTCCACTGGTAGGTCTTACTTTTTTTCTTTTCCTCTGTTGTTTCTGTGTCTCGGTCTTGCTTCTTCCTCGTCTCTAAATGAACGCTACTATGTCAATGTGCTTCCCTGTACTCAGATTCAAACTGATAGGTTGCACTCCGCCAGACTCTTTCTGCAGCTACTACTGGCAAGTTCATTTTAAAAAATCCAATCAAAGCCCAGCCAACCACATCTGATCTTGCATGTGCTGTTTCTGACATCTTGGTGTGATCAGGAGTCTGTTCTGACCTCATTCTTTTCTTAAGACAAAGTGATAGAGGATAAAGTCCTTACATCTGTAGTGAATATAAAAATATAGAAATCTTTACATACATGTATTTGAATGAAAACGTTTGTTAACGCTTGCCCATTTGAAATGGATTCTTACTCCTTACTCGGTTTGCAATTACATCCAACGCTGTAGTAACAGTTATAGTATAGCATGAAAGACAGTAACGTCTGTTGGCAAGTTTTTCTCCTTTTAAGAACTCTTCACTTGGCTGTTGCTGATCAGAGTCATTCTTCTACAGGTGCTAAAGTCCTTTCTTAAAATTTCGAGAAAATTAAAGAAAAAGACAGCACCAAATCAAATTCATGCTAAACAACTTGTTGTTTTTCAATTAAAAACTAGGATGGGAATAATGAAAGAGAATGAAACTATTTCATAAGATGTCCCATTCTTTTCAAATATTGGCTTTATGAAAATATGAACACCTCCACTAATTGATTTGGGCAATAGAGGATTGATGTAATGCTGATGATATGGCAGATTGCACTGTATGCTTCCCAGGAAGTTGAGATTGATTCAGAATGCTATCAGGTCTGCTGAGGTAATACATAGATCTATAATACAAATTGTAAAGCGCATAGAGCTGGCTGTTGAGTGGGAATTTGCGCTATACAAAGGCAGAGACAGTAAATCAAAATATTATTATAAGATAAGACAAGGAATAGTCTTCTTTATGTGTTTCCAAT